AACAACAAGCTTCATATTCTCATTCCAATTCGACTCCAAGAAAATTATATACACAATAAATTCACAAATTCACAAATAAATTCACCTCATCACAATCATCACAAATTCACAAATAAATTTATTAAAGCCAGGAACACAAGCAATTAAGCTAAAAAACGAAGTCATCTCATGCCAAACATGACTTTCTTCTCCATACCAATCAATTTAAATAGCAAAGCAAATGAAAAACAACAAATTCGTCAAAAAAAATCCGCACACAAGGTGTTCGATAAAATTCCACAATGAGTTCTTAACCCTAACATCATGCTTTTGCTAGAAACACACCATCCATACCCTAATCTAATTCAAAACCCTAACATCAATTCATAACTCAGTTAGCAATTCAAACTATCACATTTAAGGATTTTTGGTGGTTGGGTCCTCGTATTGAGGATGCTTGTATGGTGAAGTTATGATTATGTGTAAGATATTGTTATTTAAGGATTTTTTGTGGCAATGGAGATTCTGAGGCAAAAGGCAGTTAGCAATTCAAACTATCACATTCAAACATATTATATAAATTCCCAATGGAAGCCCTAATCGAACACCACCACATCTCAAATGTGACGCAACTAATCGATTACCCTAATTCGAAGAATTATTCAAAACCCTATGTTTAGCCCTAATTTGAAATTATTGAAAAAATTGAAAAAATTAAAGCCCTAATAGAAGAGAAACGTATTCTCAGAATACGTTTTACATATTAAAAAAATGGCTGAAGGTTCGCGCTTGAGGAGAATCAAACCTGGGTGTGGGTGTTTCAAACCCTCAAGGCAACTTTCAATACCATCCTGCCGCTAGGCGATCGCGTTAATTTCTACGCAAATTATATTCTTATCCTTGAATATTGAAATTTATAAACTATATACTATATGCTATATACTATATACTACATACTTCATACTATATACTATAAAGAATATAGTATAAACTATATACTATAAATTATAAACTATAAACTATATACTATATACTATAAACTAAAAACTATAGACTATAGACTATATACTATAAACTATAGACTATATACTATAATCTATATAGTATATATTATATGCTATAAACTATATACTATATGCTATATATTATAAACTATATATTATATAATACAAACTATATACACTATAAACTATAAAGTAAAGGCTCTTTCGCCTTCAAACTTTATTTTTTTTCTAGTTATAAATTTTGTCGTTTCAAAATATACTAACGTGATGACGTAAAATTGTTCATTACCCTATACTAACGTGAGAGCATTCGACTCTACGAGTGACTGCACTGGTTTAAATTTATGAATTATGGAGCATTCGACCCTACATGTGACTGCAATGCACTGTATTTATCAGATTTTTTTACCTTCGGATCAACACACACATACATATTCACACAGGTGTGTTGATCCAATGAGGCAGTCATCGACTGGGTGAAATTTTTTTCGTCTAACGGAGAATTCGATTCTACCGGTGACTGCAGTAGGTGAAAATTTCCGACTAACTGAACATTTGAGATTTAACCCTACATTTGATTGCACTGCATTGCACACCAGTCATCGATTTTTTTTTAACGTTAAATCAACACATACATGCCAACATGGGTGTGTTGATCCATGTTATAGCACAAATTGTTATTTTTACCGAGTACCGAAATGATTCGTTCGCCGGGTCGCTCTCTCGAGGAAAGCGGTTCAGAATCTAGCGTTGGTATTGATAACACATAAAAGGAAAATAATTCTTAAACATTCTAATCAAGGTGATTGGATGAATTATTAACTAAGAAATAAATCAAAACATAAATCTACCTAAAAATATAAACGACATAAAAACAAAGAAGCTAGGGAATCGGGGATAATTAATTCAAGTTCGAAACGTAAAGCCGTGCAATTAATCATTCGGTTCAAGATTGATACTCTCGCTTAAACATCTAGCGGTTTGCTCCCAATAACTCTTCGTAACATGGGATTGAACATAGACGAGCAAGTTCGAGCATATAACACCGGCCAATAATCCAATCCCAATAACTCTTCGTGACATGGGAAGGGACATCGACAAGTGTGTACTTCAATCCGAAACCTGTAGACAATACGTCTCCGAACATGTCTACCTCGTACGAGCCTAGTTCTTCGACTCCTCCCCTCTCTGTTCTAAAAGTCGCTAATTAAATTAGAAGGTGTTTAATCAACTAATCATGTAGAATCAACAAACCTTAACTCGACAAATCAACATTCAATCATTTCTAATCGCAAAATCGAAATGTCACTCTTCGATTATATCAATAAATTAACCTAAGTGTCACTCTTAGGTTATATCACATTATCAATAAATCAAGCAAGAATTCATCAATTCCTAATTAATTCAACTCGCACAAGAATGAACAAATTAACGCCCAATAATCACAAATTAAACAAGAGTAATCATCCCCTATCCCTAGCAATCGAAATTAGCTAAGTAAAATAAATTCAACACAATCAATCATTTCTCCCAATTCAACCATTTTCATGAATTAAACAAGAAGAAAAACTTACAATTAATCTCAATCTAAGTGTTGAATCCAAAATACAAGCTTAATCCCTAAAATGGAAAAGAAAGAAAAATGGAGAAGAAAAGTACGGAGAAGAGAAGAAGAGAAGAAGAGAAAAAAAAAAAAAAAAAAAAAAAAA